ATATGTTTATATATATATATATTTATTTATGTATTTATGTATTTATTTATTTATTTATTTATATCAGGCAGTGAGAATGTTTTGAAGAAAATGACCATTGTTGGTGTGATTCTGTCATTTCGCTTCATGATCCAAGATGCTCTCGAGGAGGTGAATGTCTCTATTTATGTCTCATAATTAATGTTGAATTGGAACACATTGGATCAAGTGTTTTCTACATTCTTACAATAATATGCAATGTAATACTTGTAATAAATGTCAATATATATATGTTCAAGCTTTAAATAAGTACACTAATTATCTCTGCATTTGTCATTGTATGTGTAGCATCTTATAGTATATACAGTGGGTAAAATAAATATCGAACACATCACCATTTTTCTCAGTAAATATATTTCTAAAGGTGCTGTTGACATGAAATTTTCACCAGATGTTGGTAACAATCCAAGTAATCCATACATACAAAAGAAAACAATACAAATAAGTTCAGAAATTAAGTTCTATGTAATAAAATGGAATGACCTAGGGGAAAAGTATTGAACACGCTTACTGAAATTTATTTAATACTTCGTACAAAAGCCTTTGTTGGTAATGACAGCTTCAAGACGCCTCCTGTATGGAGAAACTAGTCGTATGCATTGCTCAGGTGTGATTCTGGCCCATTCTTCCACACAAACAGTCTTCAAATCTTGAAGGTTCCATGGGCCTCTTCTATGAACTCTAAACTTTAGTTCTTTCCATAGACTTTCTATTGGATTCAAGTCAGGTGATTGGCTGGGCCATTCTAGCAGCTTTACTTTCTTTCTCTAAAACCAAATGAGAGTTTCCTTGACTGTGTGTTTGGGATCATTGTCTCGCTGGAATGTCCCTCATTTCATCTTCATCATCCTGGTAGATGGCAGCAGATTTTTATCAAAAATGTCTCGGTACATTTTTCCATTCATCCTTCCTTTAATTATATGAATTTTGCCAGTGCTACAATGATGTGTTGGGGTGATGTGCAGTGCCATTTGACCTCCAAACATGGTGTGTATTATGGCATCCAAAGAGTACAATGTTTGTCTCATCTATCCAGACTATATTCTCCCAGTATTTAGCAGGCTTGTCTAAATGTTGAGCAGCAAATTTATACGAGTTTCAACATGTTTTTTCTTCAGCAATACAGCCTTGCATGGTGAGTGTGCATACAGGCCACAGCGGTTGAGTGCATTACTTATTGTACTTATTATTTTCTTTGAAACAATTGTACATGCTAATTCCAGGTCTTTCTAAAACTCTCCACAAGTGATCCTTGGCCCTTGGACAACTCTTCTGATAATTATTTTCACTCCTCTGTCAGAAATCTTGCGAGGAGCTCCTGGTCGTGGCCGGTTTATGGTGAAATGATGTTCTTTCCACTTCCAGATTATGGCCCCAACAGTGCTCAGTGGAACATTCAGAAGTATAGAAATCCTCATGTAACCAATGCCATCAGTATGTTTTGCAACAATAAGGTTGCGAAGGTCTTGAGAAAGCTATTTGCTTTCACCCATCATGAAATGTTCCTTGTGTGACACGTTGGTCACGAGACACCTTTTTCTAGGCCATCAGTTGGGACTGAACCAACTAATATTTATTTCCACCGACAAGGGGCAGGATTGCTTTCTAATTACTGATAGATTTCAGCTGGTGTCTTGGCTTTCCATGCCTTTTTGCACCTCCCTTTCTTCATGTGTTCAGTACTTTTTCCCTGTCTCATTCTACTTTATTACACAGAACTTAATTTCTTTGCTTTCTTTGTATGTATGGATTACTTGGATTGTTACCAACATCTGGTGAAAATTTAATGTCAACAGCACCTTTAGAAATATTTTTACTGAGAAAAATGGTGATGTGTCCAATACATATTTTACCCTCTGTAAATCATAATAAATGCATAACAGTTTTTACATGTTAGAATGTACTGCCTGGTTTATGAGTGAGCACAGGACGTAAGTCTACTGATCGTTTCCATCTGTAGATCATGGACAGACACTGCCCGTTTCTAATGAGACCCATCAAATGTCTAAAGGACTTCATCTACCCTGACGGTGACATCAAGGTAAATCACTGAGTCACTGCTACTGGAATAACATTTCTTCATTTAGCTTGTATCTGTCTGTAGGGAAGAGAGAAAGAGTAAACGCAAAACTTTGAACTTTGTGGGCTCTATCATACACCTGGCGCAATGCGGCGCCAGGCACGACGCAAGTGTTTTTTGCTAGTTTCAGCCTGACGCAGTTATCATTTTCATATCCTGCACCACGTTGTTTAAATAGCAAATGCATTTGTGCCCATTTGTGTGCCCATGGGTGTGCTGGTCTGAAAACGAGGTGTGTTCAGGCGCATTGTTGGTGCATTGCTACTTTGAGGCAACTGAAATAGACTGCGCCATTGACCAACTAAAACCTGGTCTAAAGTCAATGGCGCAGTAGTTTTTTCGTTATTTAAAGAGTGCGTTAGTAATATGCACCTATAGGCGGGTGCACAACGCGCATACACTCTGCTTATTACCCACACAGGGCAGGAGCACACAAACATGCCAAATATTAAAAATTACAGCAGAAATTAAAGTTTCATAGTTAAGTTTCATAACTGATTAATTTTACAACATTAATATTAATGTTTCCTGTTTATTGTGAAGCTGCTTTGAAACTATGAGTATTGTATAAAGCACTTCATAAATAAATGTGATTTGACTTGACAGAAATGTGTGACAAATTAAGTGCTTTTATTTAACATTTACATGTTGCTTTTTTCGCCATCACAAGAAATACCTCATCTCAAGACTTTTCTATTTTTGGATTATTTTTTTAGTTTTTTTTTAAGTGTAGGTGACACTCGGTGTGTATGAAATGGCTTCGGCAGCTGGTTTGCCATGTGAGATCGACCCTGCGCTGGTTTCAGCCATAGCAAACATGCAGACAGGTGAAGTCCCGATATAGAAGTTTGCCTGTCTGGAACGACATCTCTAGTTAATCTAATTTTTCCAGTATATTATTCATTATTCTCCTTGCCAGACAACTCATCCATTGAGGAGGAGTTCAAAATCACCTGCCTGCTGCTGGTTTTTATAGCTGTGTCTTTACCCACCCTGTGCCTGGATCCAAACTCATTCTACAGGCGAGAACGTGGAGGTAACGTTGGGCAGAAGAGCAGGAGTTGCACAAGGGGCAATGCAAAAGCAGTCTTATAACAAGCTAACAAAAACAAACAGTGCAAGGAGCAGATTATCACTGAATGTAGATAAACTCCAGAACGTCTTCACTTGCTTAGCTGGAGCAAAAACTTTATGACTGATGTATATTGACTTATATAAAAGGAAACAGACTTAACCTTGCATAACATGAGCTCCAATTTTCTGTGTATTACTAAAATATCAGTGCTTTGTTCACCATAACCAGCCTCATCATAGCTTTCTGACAGACCATATACAAGCCCAATATTTACCGTAAATGCAAATCTTTTAAGATGTATTTTGCTGAACTATTTCTGAAACTCAAATGAACTTGACTTGTTTTTCAACAGGTCACCAAAACAACATTCATTGCTTGGCAACTGCAGTTAACCATCTTGCTGCAGCTATGTTCACTGTCCAGAGAAAAAATATCCAGACTCAGCTTCAAGAATTCCTGAAGGTGAATGATACACCATTGAATGCACAGCAAGAATTCAGTATTTTACATTCCATACACTGACATAAAAAAATCAATAGCAAACATTTACTAAAAATCTTAGTAACGCTTCACAATAAGGTTCAATTTGTTAATGTTAGTCAACTATATTTGTTAACATGAACCAACAATTAAAAATTGTTTTAAAGCATGTGTTAATCTCAGTTAATGTTAATTTCATCATTTACCAATACATTATTAAAAAGAAATGTTGTTAATATTAGTATTATTAATAGTAGGACCTGGGCTAACACATTTGTATTTTTATTAACTAATGTTAACAAAGATTAGTAAATACTGTAACAAATATATTGATAATTGTTAGTTAGTGTTAGTTAATGCACTAATCATTAATCTGACCTTATTGTATAGTCTTACCAAAATCTTTTATCAAATATATCTGATTACGCTCATCTTGTAGGTGGCATCATCTATCTTACTGCAGTTAGGTCAGAATGTGGAGCGAGTGGAAATAAAGAACAGAGATTCAGTTTATCTCCTTCTACACATGGTAATAAACTTTTGGAGAGTAATATAATTATTAGAATTTTAAAAAGTTTATTATACAAATCTTACGTTTGTATTCTTTGGGTTGTAGATAGTGGAGCAGTCACCGTTCTTGAGTCAAGACATGCTGGAAATGTGTTTTCCATATGTACTCCTAAGAAATGCTTACAGAGAGGTGCACAAGACCTTCATCCACACTATGGGCTAAACTTATGAGGATGTGAAATCATGATTTTGTTTTTATTTATCATAGTTAAAGAATTTAAAATGATATTCAGCTGGTTCAATTTTTATTGTGGATGCCTGTATTTAAATAGATTCCAGTGGACTCTGCTGAAACTGGGGGGAAATAACAATATATAGAAAGGTGTTAGGAGAATTCAGCTGAATATATTAATCATTTAAGATTTAACCTAGTTTTCATTACGATTAATAACTGTATTTCCAAGTAGATCATTCTCACAAGCTGATGCATTATACAAATTCAATGATAACCATAATTTGTACATTTTGTTTTATCTACTTTGTTGCCTCAGAATATAAGCAGAAAACCCTCTATAATGCTAAAATAATTTCTAGACAATGACTGTGTTGTACAATGAGTGTGACTGAGCTGTACATTGCACATTTGTATTTGTTTAAACGCATTTAAATTAAAGCTTTTTCTAGAAATGATCAAAAATGTGATTTCAAATAAAAGTGAAAATGTCATTAAATAAAAATTAAAAAAAACTAGAGATATGCTTTTGTCTGTGTTGTTGTTCACGTATACTAGTGTGGTAATTTACATGAACAGATTTGAAAGGATATTTGTGTGGCGATATGGTAAAGGGAAAATTTCAACAATCTCAATGTAGCAGACTACGCCACCCTGTTACCAGGGAACTAACAATTACCCACAAAGGAGCACACAGGTTCACTAGTGCAAAGACGGCCCAAGACGTGGATATCAAAAATGCAAAACTTTATTTATGGGGCTTTTCCACTGCATGGTACGGCACGGTACGGCACGGTACGGCTCGATACGGTTCACTTTTGGGGGGGTTTCCACTGGGTACAGTACCTGGTACCTGGTACATTTTTTAGTACCACTTTGGTTGGGGTTCCAAGTGAACCGTACCGTTAGCAAAACGTGACGTGTAAACTCTGCTGATCACGGATTGGCCGAAGAGAATCGTCACTACCTGCGTCACTGAACTTGCGACACAAACACAAAAGAACCGCTAGATTTAAATCAGCACAGCCAGCGAAGGATCGAACGCAACTGTTTTGAACGAGCGCACCTTTTTTTTAACAACCAAAAAGTTTTGTTGTCTGTTGCGGAAGTACAGACGTTCCTCTCGTTGATAGCAGAGGAGCGGATCCAGCGAGAGCCGAACCGTGCCGTGCCGTACTGAGCCGTACCGAGCCGAGTCGTACCACGCAGTGGAAAAGCGCCATTAGTGCAATCAGTAATAAAAACTAAAAGACTGCATGACATGAACACTACACACACTTGCGTACAATAAACAGGAGGGCAAGGTTTACCAGAGGCAGGCAAGACAGCAACTGAGCCTAAGGCTCCTATATCTGTCAGGGTTCTGTCACTTCGGTCTAGTGTAATTCATGGTTTTGTGACAGAGCCCTGACACTCCCGTCGTGTCGTTGTTTTCATGTGAGCGCGCGGCTTCGAGAGTGCTCGAGCCGTGCGCTCTCGTCTGCGTGTCCTGTTTCATGTTGGAGCGTGGTGTTCAGATCCCGGCACTCATGTCTTGTTGAGTTTCGGTTTCGTGTCGGGGGCCGGAATGTCAATTGTCTTGACCCCACCCATCTTGTTACCTGATTATTGGTTAATTTGCCCCACATGTGTTCCCTCGTTACCCTCCTCATTTGCTCTCTATTTATTCTCCTTGTGTTTGCAGTCCCGGGCCAGTTCGTCATCGTATCACCCTAGATGTGTCCTGATCCTGCCTTGCCTTGCCTTGTCATGCCAGCCTGTTTTTCCCCCACTGGGTAGTTTTTGTTGTTGTTTTTGTTTTATTTTATTAATAAAAGCCCATTACTCTGCACTATTAAGTCCTCGCCTCATCCCTTCATCCCCGACCCTGACAGAACGAACTGGCCAATAGAGGACTCAGCAGAACAATTGGCATCTTCCTGTTCCCATCTCTCTGCCCATCCGCTCATCAGATAGCTGCTCAACACAGGAGGCTTCTTTCTCTTCGGCAAGTGGGAGCCAGTGTGAAGGATTTTGCATACCAGTTCCTGTTTGTAGTGGAGGGACTCAACATCAGTGATGCAGAGCTCAAGGACATCTTTAACCTTGCCAGCCTGTTTTTCCCCCATGGGGTAGTTTTTGTTGTTGTTTTTGTTTTATTTTATTAATAAAAGCCCATTACTCTGCACTATTAAGTCCTCGCCTCATCCCTTCATCCCCGACCCTGACAGAACGAACTGGCCAATAGAGGACTCAGCAGAACAATTGGCATCTTCCTGTTCCCATCTCTCTGCCCATCCGCTCATCAGATAGCTGCTCAACACAGGAGGCTTCTTTCTCTTCGGCAAGTGGGAGCCAGTGTGAAGGATTTTGCATACCAGTTCCTGTTTGTAGCGGAGGGACTCAACATCAGTGATGCAGAGCTCAAGAACATCTTTAACACCAGCCTTAATGAGCCCGTCCATGCCTGGGAGATGGGAATGCTGGGGACACTGTCCTTCTGGCAGTTTGTGGGGTATGTCTACCACCGTGGAGAAGAGGGTGGCCTTCCTCCTCTTGGCCCTCCTCCCATTCTCCTTACAAACTATCTAGTCCCCAGTCCTCCTATGACCCGCCAATGGAGGAGGAGGAGGAACAGGTCCGCCTCATCTGCCCCCATTACTGTAGAGGTTGAACCTGCCGCAGCACCCCCAGAGGTGGCCAGAGAAGCCACAGCACCCCCCAGAGGCGCCTGATATTGCTGCAACACCCCTAGAAACGCCTGATGAGGCTGCAGTGCCCCCAGTGGTGGCTGAAGATGCTGCAGCACTCCCGGAGGCAGCTGAGAAATCTGCAGCGCCCCCAGAGGTGGCTGAAAATACTGCAGTACCCCTAGAGGTGGTAACGTCCGTGCCACCTCCTCGCCCTCACAAGCGCAGGAGAAGGAGGACTCCTGTCGCTTCCCCTAATCTGGGGGTCCAGGAGGACCTGACGCCGGTGGTCCCAGAGCCCCCAAGTGTAGTAGTCCCAGAGCTCCCTGTTATGGCCATGGAAGTGGTCCCTGAGCAGCCCACTATTCCTGTCGGTCCTGTTGCGGCTGAAGAGACTGCCCTCTCCTTGTACGTTGCCGCTGTTATGTGTGTCTGGGCTGCATACACTGTTCAGCTGGCTTCCTCCAGTCCTGTTGGTGCTCCAGAGGCCGTTCCAGAGCCCGCTCCCGGCCTGAAGGTTGTTCCAGAGCCACCCATTTTCCCAGTCAGTCCTGCCATGGCCAAGAGGGCTGTCTTCACCTTCTATGTTTTGGCTGTTTTGCGTGCCTGGAAAATGCACACGTCTTCCTCTGACTATCGACAAGTCTGCCAGCCAGAGCCTTCTGCGGACATGGAGGCCGTCCCAGAGCAGTACGTTTTCCCAGTCATGACCACAGAGGCTGTCCCAGAGTCTGCTCCAGCCCCGGGGCCTCCAGAGTTCACTTCTAAGCCCTGGAACTACTTCAAAATGACTCTTGTGCCTAATCTGAAGGCCAGTCAGACCCATGCCCACTACACTGGCAGAACTGCCCTTGGGACTGTCACCTTCATGGTATTTCCCTTCATCACCCTGATTCCAGTTATGCCAGAGTTTGATCTGCCTGTCCTGTCCAAGCTCCTTGCCCTGCCGGCTCCCTCCAGACTCCTTGCTCTTCCGGCTCCGCCCAAGTTCCTTGCCCTGCCGGCTCCACTCAAGCTCTGTGTCTTTTCGGCTCCGCCCTGGCCTCCTGCCAGGACTGCAGAGGTGCTTGAGCCTGCCTGGTTCGATCCACCAGCCCCGCCCTGGTCATCCACCAGGGTTCCTGTACTGCCGGAGCCTCCCTGGTCCGTCCCTCTGGTCCCACCCTGGCCTTCAGCCAGGACTCCGCAACTGTCGGAGCCTCCCTGGTTCATCCCTCTGGCTCCACCCTAGCCTCCTGCCAGGACTCCTGAACTGCCTGAGCCTCCCTGGCTCAGCCCTCCCGCCCCTCCCTGGTCCCTTTAATGACTGTCTGGGCTTTTCTGTTGGCTGGCTGGCTGGGCTCCCCTCCCTCTCCTCTTTTTTTGTCTCTGTGTTTTGATTCCCCTGTTTTGTGTTGTCTGTTGTTGTGTGTCGGTCTTGTGTTGTCATATTTGTTCTGGTCTTGTGTTGTCATGTCATGTTTCTGTCTTGTTTTTGGTGTTCCTCGTTAGGGACACCAGGTGGTGTCCCTTTTGAGGGGGGGTAGTGTCAGGGTTCTGTCACTTCGGTCTAGTATAATTCATGGTTTTGTGACAGAGCACTGACACTCCAGTCGTGTAGTTGTTTTCATCTCTCGTCTGCGTGTCCTGTTTCATGTTGGAACGTGATGTTCAGATCCCGGCACTCATGTCTTGTTGAGTTTCAATTTCGTGTCAGGGTCCGGACACTCGCGCTCCATGTTCTGTCTGTTGTGGGAGCGTGCGGTCTCGAGTTCGCTCGGCCGTGCGCTCTTCTGTCCACGTGTGCTGTGTATTGTGTAGCACGCGGGTTGTGTTCAGCCGCGTGCTTTTCTTGTTGTCTTGTGTGAACACGCGGCTTATGAGTTTTCTCATTAGCTGCGTGTTCGTGTCTTGTTTTGTTCAAGCACATGGCTTGTGATTGTTTTGCTGGCCATGTGCTTGTGTTTGTTTTGTGTGAGCACTTGGCTTTTGTCTTTGTTTCCTGTGTGCCATGTGCTCTCATGTCAATTGTCTTGACGCCACCCATCTTGTTACCTGATTATTGGTTAATTTGCCCCACATGTGTTCCCTCGTTACCCTCCTCATTTGCTCTCTATTTATTCTCCTTGTTTTATTTTATAAATAAAAGCCCATTACTCTGCACTATTGAGTCATCGCCTCATCCCTTCATCCCCGACCCTGACAATATCACAAATCGTATCACCAGATGTACAAATCTCACCACACACGCAGGCACGCAGTGAAATCAACCACAGCACACAACACTCAGTGACAAAGGACCCTCCACCGCATAAAGAACTGGCTAACTGCCCGCCCTGGACCTCAGCTCCTGTAACAAAAATCAGAATTCAAATAACACTTTGAATATCACAAAACAAATTCCTTAACAATAACACAAAATATACTCAATAATGAAACAAAAGAGAGTGGAAGACCACAGACAAAGGACTAACCACTCTCAATAAACAGTTCAAAAGAATAAATAAAACAAAATAAGTAATCAAAATAAAGAAAACTTCCAAACTTTAATTAAACAAAACGAACACATAAGGCAATTAAGTGAGACTAAACTTCACTTATCACACAATATCAAATAATTACAATTAGAACAAAAATTATAACTTACACAAACGCAGTTGTAATCAAACAAAAAAACAAAACCAACAAAATATAAACTACAATCAAAATGGACACACACACACACACACACATACACAAGGTGGATGCAAGTCGTAAGAACTCCAGCCAAAGCAACGTGCACACACACGAACAAGAC